TGGATGGGTCAGGGATGGTTTCACAGAGGAGGTGACATCTGAGATGGGTCCTGAAGGATGAGAAAGAATCTTCCAAGCTGGACAGAGCAAAGGGCATTGGTGGGTCAGGACCTCACTGATGGGGTGGGAGGGACAGGAGGATTGGAGAAGGTAAACTAGAACAGAGGGAGATGAGGCCAGATTATTAAGGACCTTGGGTGCCAAGTGAACTATGGAAGGTTTTTTTCTTTTGGGGTGGGTAAGGCAGGGGCAGGGGTCTCAACTTGTTGTGTGGTAGATGAATTGGACAGGAAGAGACTGGAGGCATGGAGGCCAGTTAGGAGGCTGTTGCTGAAAGTCTTAGCCAGCACAGAAACAGTTGGTATGGAGAGGGAAGACATAGATTGTAAACTATTTGCAAGGAAGGATTTATGGACATGGGACTTAATTAGATGGGGTGGAGTGGAGGGATTGTCAATGGAGGAATTAAGGCTGACTTTGAAGAGGAGCCCTGGTGGAGCAGTGGTTAAGCACTTGGCTGCTAACCAAAAGGTCAGTGGTTCAAACCTACTAGCCTTTCCATGGGAGAAAGATGTGGCAGTCTGCTTCTATGAAGATTACAGCTTTAGGAACACTATGGTTCTACCCTGTCCTATAGGGTTGCTATGAATCAGAATCGGCTCTATGGCAACGGGTTTCATTTGGTTTTGAAGTTTCTAGCTTGAGCAGCCAAATGGAGGTAGAAACCATTAATTGAGACAGAAGACATAGGAGAAGGAGCAGACCATGAAAACGGGGAAGAAAGGTTTGTCTTTGGACTTGTTGAGTATGAGGTGCCTGTGAGGCTGAGCCATCCACAGGTGAAGATAACCCAGCAGGGGATTGCATGTAGAGTCCTGGAGCAGATGGAGAAAGGATAGAGTAGCAGCCTGAGGACCACAGCGTTCTTGTTCCAGGACCTGTTGTTCATCTTTCCGGCCAGTTTATTTGAAAGCAGCCCCCCCGGGCCAGTAGTGCAAAGCCTCATGGTGAGTGTGCTTGTGTCACGCGGCTCTTACCACAGCAGCATGGCTAGAAACGTCTCAACGACCTGAGACGCCTGGGTGCATTGGGGCAGAACCACTCTAGAACAGGGAATGCCCAGGCAGATCCCTCCTTGTCACCTCTTCTCAAAGTCTGAACCTGTCTGCCCAAGAGGAGTGGTAGGAGAGGTAGGCACCTGAAAATGTTTGTGTGCTGGATGGGCCTAGCAGGGTGATGGGTTAGCCAAGGCAGAGAAACCCAAGCTTTTTAAAAAAGCTGTTTTGCTCCTTCCCTGTGCTTGTATGTATGGGTGTGTGTGCACCCATGCATATACATGCTTATATGTGTGTATGTGCATGAGTGCACCCATGCATATATATGCTTGCATGTAGGTACTTGGGTATTAGCCAGGGACTGCTGACAGCAACCACTTAATGGAGCAGGAGAGTAGGCCAGCTCCTGTCCTGGCTGGCCTCTCCTTCTGCTGGCACGTGGGCAGCTCCTGGGCGAGGAAGTCCTACAGAGAGGGCAGCCCGGAGGCAGGCACCTGTCTGGAGCCATGACACTAGCACACACTGACCTTTGGACGGTGTATTGGTTTCCTGTAGCTGCTGTGACAGATAACCATAAACTTGACGCTTAAACAACAGAACTTTTTTCTCGCCCAGTTCTGGAGGCCAGAAGTAGGAAATCAGTGTTACTGGGCTAGAATCCAAGTGTCAGCAGGGCCATGCTCCATCCAGAGGCTTTAGGGAAGAATCTGTTCCTTGCCTGGTCCAGCTTCCAGTGGCTGCTGGCATTCCTTGGTTTGTGGCCACATCACTCCAATCTCTGCCTCTGTAGTACTTACTTTGCCTCTTCTGTGTATATCAAGTTGCCCCCATAAAGATATGTACGATTGCATTCAGGGCATACCCAGTCAATAGATAATGATAATCCGGTATCATCTTCCCATCTCAACCAGATCATTAATCATATCTGCAGTCTTTGCTATGTAAGGTAACATGTACAGGTTCTAGGGATTACGACCTGTGTCTTTAGGGGCCATTACTCAATCTTCTATAGGCAGGGTTTGGAAAAGTACTTGCATTTGATCCTTACCACCAGCCTGGGAAGAGGGTGACACTACACCTGTTTTAGAGATGAGAAAATGGGCTTTGTTAGCTAAGGTGTACCAAGATCTATTGGGAGACCTTGATCTGTTGACTGGGGATCCCTGGCCTAATGGTTCATAACATTTTTGTTTTACTGTAGAATGCCTTTATTATTAAGAGAAAACATATTTTACTCATTAGCCAATCATATCACATCACATAGCTTTTCATTTTTTAGTCTTTCCATTTTCCATTCACTACACAAAACATTTTTTAAACATAAAATCTATCCATCTTTTTTGTTTGTTTTTAGGAAAAAGATGGTGGTACATTTAATCAAGCAGCATTTTTGCATTGGATGATTACTGCTGGTTCAACTGGCCCTGGTTTTCCTTGGATGCGTTGGAGAACTAGGAAGCAGTGGCATCATTTTCTCCTACCCCCCACTGTGTTTGGGTTCACTTTCATGGGCATGAGAGAGTACAGGGACATATGGGAGCCCAGCAGACCAGAAAGGACCAGGGCAGCCCCTGATGCCCCTGGCTGAAGAATGGGCCACGAAAAGCTGGACTTGCCAGAGGGCAGTCCTGGAATGATGGGACATTGGCCCCTGAACCCCAAACTTGTGGTTCAATGCAGAAACCTGGGCCCTTACTTGAAGCCAAAAGACCTTTGACTGTGCTCAAAACAGAGCCTAGGAATGCCATGCCATGACCACCGCAATGAAAGCCCCTTACATTCTTGTACGTCTCCTTCTCCGTCTTTTATATTATTGCATTCTCACATCCCCACTTCATAGATAGAGAACTCAGATGGTGGGGAGCTGTCCTAGTCAGCCCAGCCGGCCCTTAGTCAGGGTAGGGACTTGCTGGTGCTACCCAGGGGGCTGTGTGAGATCAGCAGGCCTGGCCTCTTCCGCTGTGGACAAGTCTCATCACCTGTTCATTTGAAAGGATTTTAAAAGTTAGATGCTCTAGCTTCTGGCTGACCCCATGAGCTGTACTGTCCTTATTGAGGCCCCCTGTCCCGAGTCCATGCCAGGTGTGTAACCTGGAGCAAATTACTTCCCTTTCTGGGCCTCGGTTTCCTCATCTTTGTAACGTGGGGGTTGGTCTAAGTGGACTCTAAGGTCCTTGCTGACCGCTGCTCCCAAACTTTACTGCCTATCTATTTGAGGCAACCTATAGGATCGCTAGGAACCCCTGGTGGCACAGTGGTTAAGAGGTACTGCAGCTAACCGAAAGGTCGGCAGTTGGAATCCACCACGCCCTCCTTGGAAACCCTGCGGGGCAGGTCTACTCTGTCCTTTAGGGTCGCTATGAGTTGGAATGGAGCTTGGTTTGGTTTGGTTTGGTTTGGTTTGGTTTGGTTTATAGGCTTGGATGTCAGGGATTTTTCTGGAGATCTGGCCCCGAAAGGGCATTTGGGAGCCCTTTTCAGCCACCACCTGCGTGTCCAGCCGGGACAAGTGTTTGCCTTTCATTATTCATGAGGGCAGACCAGGAACTGAGGAAGGCGTGGGAGATTCGGGGGTTCTGGCGAGCTCTGCGCTCAGAGCAGACACGATTCAAATCCACAGCGCCAGTTTCCCTCCCTCCAGGAAGGGTTGGCTCTAGCTCACTTGCTGGGGGCCTCAGGGCCTTCATGGGGATACCTGTTCCACTGCCTTCTATTCTTCCATTTGTTTGGAGACCCCAGACTCATTCCGGCGTCCCCTCCCAATTAGCCACAGGAGGCAAACAACTGGCTCTGAATTCCCCCTTTGTCCGGTGAAACCAAGCGGAGAGGGACCGAGGCGACCCCCTGCCCCCACTGGAATGTCAGCTTGCTGCGCCCCCATCTCTCCCTCCTTTTCAGATGGCCTCCCCCGCGCACTTCCTGAGCCCCTGGTCCCACCGCCACCGCTGCGCGCACACACTTCCTGGCGGGTTCAGCGGCCTCTCGATCCTTACTCGGCGAGCTCCGCCCTGGTTCCTGGAGAAGCGACCTTTTGTTATTCAAATCACACTATAGGCTTGAGCTCGGGGGCCGTAACTTCTGCCCGGGAATCCATACGTTAGTTTTTCCCTCGCTCTCCGGCGCCCCTTCGACCGCCGCGGGGGCCCTGGGCGCCGGTAGCTGGTTTCGGGATTTCCTCGCCTGGTGGGGCTGGGGCGCACCGCGCCTCTCCCGCCCTCGGTGCGCGCTGCGGCTCCGCGCTGGGGCTCCCACCCCGCTCCCCTCCCCGTCTCTTCCCCCTCCCTGCCTTTCTCTGATGCAGCCTCGGTCCTGCCGCCGCCGCCGCCGCTCTCCCCAGTCCGCGGGGCCCTGCTGGCCTCCCTCCCCGCAGCATGGCACCATCGGGGCGGAATTAACCGGGAGTAGCATTTAGGGAAGCGGGATTTCAAGGAGGTGGGGGAGGGGGTGCCCTGCAACCTCGGTCATGGATGTGAGCAAGATGGTAAGTGAAGAGCAGTGGCTCTGCCCTGGAATCTCCACCCCCATCCCGCTCCCTCCTGGTCGGCTTGTTCCATTGAAAGTTTCTGGATTGTTGATCCTGCCTGTTGGCCCCAACTCCAGGCGTGCCGGAGGATGGAGCCGGGCCAGGGTTCCGGTGGCGGCAGCCGGACCGGGACGGGGGCTCTCCCTGTTTCCCGCCGCGCTGCCGTTTGGACTCCAGGGAAAGGGTTGTTGAGCTCGCCTCCCCAGATGAGAAGCCAGCCTGGTGGGGGGGGCAGGGCTGCGAGGAGGGTACCTCCGCAGCCCCCTGCCCGCACACCTACTGGAGACTTGTGGGAAGATCGGTAGGGCTGAGCCCGTGGCGGGCGTTGGGGGTGGGGGAGAGGACACAGGTAGGCGACCGTGGGCTGACAGTGAGGAATTTAACCGCCCTAGAAAGTGAGGGGGGGGCAGGAATGGAATCCTTGGGTTAGGTAGAGGGTGCTCCGGATTTATCACTTGTAAACCCCAGCTTCAGTTGGCTTGGGGAGCAGAAAAACTTTTGCCTCTTTAGCATCTGACTCCCCATCTCCTTTAGAGGTGGGCTTCCCTGGAGAGGTCTGTGTCCTCCCCCATGACAGCCCCAGGAACACAGGAGCTGAATCAGTTATTGTTCATTGACTGAGACCAAGGAACAGCCCTCAGCAGGTGGCAGGATGTGATTTGGGGGACTGAAGGGAGGGGGCCTCAGGGAGCACTTGGAGGCCTGGGGAACTTCAGGTTTCCCCAGGGGTCCCGATTGGCTCCCAGTCTGAAGTGAGACTTAAGGGTGCCCTTGAGATCACTACCACCCTGACCTGGGCTCTAGACCATCCCCCTCCCCCAGCGTTGCAACCCTGTGTGTCAGGTTGGAGAGGGGTCCCAACATGATCTGCGCATGATCCCCAGGGCCTTAGAGAAAAAGGAACTGGATCTGGGTGTGCCTGTGTGTGTGTGTTGGGAGGGTCTGGGTCTGCCTATACGTTAGGGAATAGAAGGCACTGAAATTTCAGTTTATTCTGAACAGAATTGGGCTGGTTTTCCTCTGAGGGCACCCCTTTGAGGCAGTTGTCTCCTTGGAGAAGGTCCTTTGCCATTCTGTCTTGGGTAGGGAAGTGGGATGGGGCAGATGTTAGGTGAAGGTCCTTTCTTCCCGTGGCAAGAGACCAATCTCAAACTGACTGAGCACTGTCCCAGGGTTGTGGGCTAGGGCGAGGGGCCTGCATTGGCTCCCATCTCCATATGGGTGACCGTGAGGAGCCTATAGCCTGTCCACCGTGGAAATGCCAGGGGGCTGGACCACCATTCCCTATTTGGCCTTTGTACCATGAAAGCTTGCTCTTTTTAGGTGACTATTAAAAGAACCCCTCAAAAAAAATCTTCTATGCTGCTCTGGGGTGTGAATGTGGAAAACTGAGCAGCAGCTGGGCCCATTCCTGGAGGTGTCTGAGCAAGACCAATTTGGGCTATGGTTGGGGGAGGAAAGACTTGAGGCTCTAGAGTGATGGCCGGCTGAACCAGATCACCCCTGAGCTTCTTTCTAGCCCCTGAGTTCTGGTTCCTTCTGAAGCCTGACCTGCAAGGGCCAGCTTACAGCGTTCAGGGACCTGCCTTCAGAGATCTAGGTCACTTCTGACAGTACCACCTCCCTCTATACATCCCCTCGTTAATTCAACAGCATTTATTTAATCTTTATCATTTCTATAGCAAGTGCTGTGTGAAGGACACAAAGAAACAACTTTTGGCCTCCCAGCTCCTCAGGGACCTTAGCATCTAGGTAAGGGGTCCAGGGAGATACAGGCCAACTCAACAGTTAGGTACCATTGCAATCCCCAATTGGAGGGCCACAGCTCCAAGGTCTGTGGGGGTCTGTGAGTGGACTGGGCTGCAGAGTTTCAGATGGAAGACTGGGACCTGATTTGCTCCTGAGGGCTGGGTGGAGTTGACTCAGCCCAGAGCAGTGAGGGGCATTGCCTGCTGGGAGAGTTGCAGGCAGAGGAATGGACAAAGCCCATTGGGTGAGGCTGAGAGCATTTGGCTGGGACAACGGTTTGACGTCAAGAAATGTTAGGATCATTGGTTGGGACCAGACCAGGAGGGCCTTGAATGCCAACCTGTAGGCACTGGGTAACCTCTGGAGAATCTGGAGCACAGGAGAGGCACATTTATTACCTCTTTCCTCTTTGAGCTTGGGATCCAAACAAAGGTGATGTTAGATTCTCATTAGTCATTGAGGAGCCCTGAAACAGTTGTCTTCAGCTGTTTGTTAAGAGCACAGACCATGGCCTGTGGAGCAAGAACCTTACCCACCCCAGGGACTTGGTGCCTGCTTCCTATTCCTGTTCTGACCATTAAATCCCCAGCACTGGCTTAAAGTCCACACTCTGGGGGACTTTGACCCCAAACCCAGCATTTCAACCACATGCATGATAGAGCCCAGCTTCAGCCTTAGGGGCTTCTCTTGCTTATCGCTGAATGAGAAAAAAAGTATGGTTTACCCACCTCACCTGTATGTTTTTTGGCAACCTGTTAGCCTCATCTGTAAAATGAGAGTAAGAACACCTGCCTTGGAGGCCTGGCATAGTAAGCCCTCCATACATGGGGCCTATTATGATAATGACTCTCTCCAAAGTCCCATCTGGCCCTAAGGTGACTCACATTCCCCCCACACCCTTTATTTTCTTGATTGCCTGGAAGAGCTGGGCATAGGCTGTATTTTAGTTGGCTGCTCTTGGGACCAATTCTCCCAGGTCTACTTATGTTTCTGAATGAGGGTAAAAATGACGGAACAATGGATTCACCAACTGCTCTAACCAATGACTTTTTTATGACACCAGATATCTCTGCCCAAGGGGGAGCTGGTTTAACCCACCATACACAGTAAAGTGCAGGTGGCTTTGAGGGGCTGATGATGGAGTCGATGCCGTCACAGAATGCACAGTGCTATAATTGCGGGAGAAGAGACCTGACAATCTGCTTCTGTAAAGATTACAGTCAAGAAAATCCTATCGGGCAGTTCTACTTTGTCACATGGGGCAGCTATGAGTTGAAATTGACTTGACAGCCCTCAACAACATAGTTTTGGGAGCAGAGTCAACACTATCAGTTCTTACAAAAGAATGTATAGTATATAATAGCAACATATTTATATAGTGCTTTATAGCTTACAAAGTATCTTCATACCTATTCTCCCAACAATCCTGTGAGGAAGGCAGGGCAGAAATAATTAGCTACATTTTACAGATAAGAAAATGGAGTCAGAAGTTAAGCCCAGAACCCTAGGCAAGTGGCAGAACCAGATCTTGTACCCAGTTCTCCTGACAACTAAAATATATGCTATTGTGACAAATTAACCCATTGCCATCGAGTCGATTCTGACTCATAGTGACCCTATGGGACAGAGTAGAACTGCCCCCATAGGGTTTCCAAGGAATGGCTGGTGGATTTGAACTGACAACCTGTAAGTTAGCAGCCAAGCTTTTAACCATTGCACCAACTGGGCTCCAAAATAAATAAAGGATAAGGAAAAAGATTTCGTGACCAAATTCTAGAACAGACGCTAGCCGATCTAAAAAGACTAGCTGGGAATGGTGGCCTTTGGCTTCTGGCTCCCCTAGGGAAGAATATCTAGGGACGGAGATGAAGTATCAGTCTATATGTAGAATTTGCTCCTTGTAAATCACCTGCATCTGTTTTTAAGACTCAGGGTTTCTTCATGAATCTGGGCTGCCACCCTTTCAGGTATAAGACACCTGACCCCTTGGAGCCTCCAATTTACACAACAGGAAGATGGGAGAGGGGAAAGTTGTTTCAGGCGTTCTGAGTAAATGATGTTGGTGGTGGAGTAGAAAACAATCCAGGACGCTATGCTGTCCCTGCTGCTGTGTGTGTATATTTGGTGGGCTGGAAGAAGGGCGTGATAGGAAATGCCGGGGAGATCCCCTGTGCACAGTGACATCAAGGACTGCTCAGCACACATCCACATAGCAGTGTGGAGAGGAGGACGTCCTCCCATGGAGGTTCTCAGCCACATGATCAACTGAAGCTGGACAATAGGAGATGGAGGACCAGCTCCGTCAAATCAGCAGTGATTTCAGCTCTGGATCACGAAATCAGTTCAGTGGGTCACAGCTAGCATTTGAAAAAGTGAGGCGGATTAGAAAATATCCCAGTGTATCCCATGTAAGAAGGTCAGTGTTAGTTCACGAGACTGGTTTAGGTTGCAAATGCACATGCATACAGTAAGTACTAAGTAGCCATACAAAATGTATTTTCTACTATGGTCAGAGTCAAAAAAGACTCAAATGCTCAGAAGAGCATGAGAGGATGTCACCTTAAAATGAGTAATTCATCTTGAAGCTGATCATTGTCTTCAACTCACTGAGGGCCTATCAGGACAAAGAGATAGTTTATGTACTCCACGTGGCTCCAAAAGATCAGAATCATTTTCAAGACGGGGTAAATTTTGGCTGGTAGGACTTCCCCACTGCAGAGCAATCCTATGTAGAATCATGGACCGCTGGAGGAGGATTGGTCTCTGAGGCCCTGCCAACCCAGAGACTGGCTCAGCACTCAGGCTTTGGGAACGGTCCTCAGAGACCCGTGGGTTCCATGACTGAGCTCTAGGTGGCTGATAAAGGAGAGTGTGGCCCTGTCTGCAGAGGTGGCTCATTTAAGAGTCCACGTATCCTGGACTGCATCACCCTCATTTTCTGAAACTCAGCAGACCATCATGGATCAGGCACCTTCCCCACCAGCCCTGGAGTAAGGTCAGGGATCATAGATTGTATTGGCCTCAGCCAGATGCTAGTGGGAAAGGCAATTTGTTAAATGCCTCTTTTTAAAATGCTCAGGAAAAGAACTTTTGATTTACCGTAAATCTGCTATCTTTGATTGTCACTGATAGCTAAGATTTTACCCTGTTAAGATGAAGCTCAGTTCAGTTCCTTGAATACCCACTTTATATGCAGGCCCCTTGGTGTGGAAGTTAAGATGTTAGGGATCCAGAGCCGAGTATGGCCAGTCCTCATCTGTTGAAAGGTTTACAAAGTGGAGAGAGAGATGAGAAGATTCCCTTGAGTGCAGTAAGTGCAGTGGCACAGTAATAGAGAATTTGTAGCTGACAACACTCACCTGGATTCTTCCTCACAACAGCCTTGGAGGCAGGAATTCGGGTCCCTGCTTCACTTGTGAGGACCTGGCCCAGGAGCCCTCCGAGTCACACTGCCAGTTGGGCCAAGTTCAGATGCAGCATGGGTTTCATGACAGCCCAGCCCACAGTGCTGTATTGCTTACGTACCCTCTCTTTCTCCCTCCTCTTTCCTTACAGCTGGGTAGTTTTCTTGCAGAGTGTGGCCAGGGGCTGTTTCCACTCCACCTTTGTCTTCTTACTTGCAGTCCCCACCCAAAGCCAGACAGGCACGTGGTCTGGCAGCTGCCCCTGAGTCAGAGGATTGCTGCAGCCAGACAAAACTCAGTTGCCCCAGGGGACCCCAAATAAATTAAACCGTAGGTATTTTAAGGGAAAAAAAATCCCCATGTCTCCTTTAGATTCTCTGAAGTTCTAGTCCTTGATTTGGAGGTGATTTCTGTGGACGAGAGAGGCCTAGGACAAGAGGCATGTTGGTAAATGTGAGTGGCTGAGTTAGTGGGAACCCAGCTGGACTCCACAGCGCCATCCCCTGTGCAGGGAAGGTTAGGGACCTGTCATCTGTGTCCACCTGAGGCTGCGCTAGCTAGAGTCAGACCAGAGACTAAGTCCTGGTGCCACCATTTGCAGGCCTTAAGACTGTGGACACTTTCATTGACCTCTTGTGCTTCAGCTCACTCATCTCCCAGATGGGATAGTGTCTGCCGCTTGTAGGGGTGTCGAGATGGCTTGTTCAAAGTACTAGACTCATGGAGACCCCATGTATTTCAGAGTAGAACTGTCCGCTACAGGTTTTTCATTGGCTGCTTGTTCAGAAGTAGATAACCAGGCCTTTCTCCCAAGGTGCCTCTGGGTGGACTCACATCGCCAACACTTCAGTTAGCAGCTGAGTGCGTTAACCATTTGCACCACCCAGAACTCCAGTTGGCACATGTTGTTTTAGATGCAGTCAGGTGGACCCCTAACTCACGGCAACCCCATATACAACAGTTGCGGATCAGACCATTGTAATGTATCAGGTTTTTATTGGCTGATTTTTCGGAAGTAGATTGCCAGGCCTTTCTTCCTAGCCTGTCTTAGTCTGGAATCTCTGCTGAAACCTGTTCAGCATCATAGCACCACCAACTCCCCACTGACAGACAGATGGTGGCTACGTGCGAGGTGCATTGGTCAAGAATCGAACCCCGGTCTCCCACATGGAAGGTGAGAATTCTTTTACTGAACTACCACTGCCTCCACTTGACACATTGTTGTTATTGTTGTGTGACTTCAAGTTGATTCTGACTCGTGGTGACCCAATATGACCCAATAGAACTGCCCCATAGGGTTTCCTAGGCTGTAATCTTTATGGAGCAGATTGCTAGGTCTTTTCTCCCACAGAGCCGCTGGTGGGTTTGAACTGCCAACCTTTCGGTTACCAGCCAAGAACTTAAACATTGCACCACCAGGGCTCCTTACTTGGCACATAAGAGGGTGGTGGCTATAATTATTAATATTTTTGCTCTTTTATTTAGGCAATAAATAAAATCTTAAAGCTTTAGTTGAAGGAGTAGAGCCTGTCTTCATTAGAATGATTACTCTGCTCTGTGAGCTCAGTCTAGTAGGGCAGTCAGACATGCTATCAGGTAATCACAGTACATGTAATTAAAACACATGAAGTCTACATGAGGGATGTAATAGCATGGAAGAGGGTGGGATTAACCTCCTGGCAAGCTGAGGAGAGGCTTCACTGAGAAAGCTGGAGGAGGAGGAGGGGTCCCTGGGGGTAAGGAAAGTAAGGGCGTTCTAGCCAAAGAGAACCACAAGTGCAAAAGCACAGGTCATGAAACCCCCGGGTTTGTTTAAGAACTACCTGTGGTTTGTTGAAGAACTACCTGTGCAAGAGTAGGAACAGTTCCTATCTCCATGGGACTAACAGAGTTCTAGGGACATACATTTAGCAAAGACATGGGGTGCACTTCTTTTTATACCTCAGAGCTCCCTGGAAGAGGTGGTGTGCTTCTTCAAGCTGTGCTTGAAGAAGGGGAGCAGTGATTTCATTGATGAAAACACATGATACATAGTAGGTGCTGAGTGAATGCATGAGTGGTTAAATGATGAAAGGAGAAGTTGTTCCAGTTGAGAGAGTGGCACTGGATGCACGCTGGTGACAGGAACGAACAAGTCAGGTGAACGAATTTTGAGTAGGTTTGTTAGGAGCAGAGCAAGAGATGGGAAGAGGGTGGACACAGGGAGTGAGGGCCCACATTAGAAATAATGAGCAAGTCTTCAGTAGAACCAGTCACCGAGCTGTCTCCTCTTGGTGTCAGACTTGGATGTACTGTTTGGTCCAAAAGTTTTAACACCTCCTAGTCCCAGTGCCTGGAGAGGGCTGTTGCTGGTACCAAGATAAACATGGGAGCCACAGACCGTGGGTTAGGGATAGTTTTTTTGAAATGAGCATCTCATTAACTTTCTATTGACTCGTGGGCCTCTCTTTGCAGCACTCATCTTCGTGGACCTAAAATAGCTGCTGCTTGCTGGATTTTTCTCAGGCTGAATTCTTTGGAAAGATATCTACCAATTCACAGCCTCTCTAGCCCCACTACATCTAAGACCCGTATCGCCGGCCTTGGTACTGTACAGTGATGTCCCCCAGTGGTTATGGCGAAGGAAGTTAAAACAACAGTGTTCTTTTTGCCCTGTACGTATGTGAAGATTGTCCATTGAATCAGCAAACACTGAGGACCTACTCAAGCCCAATGCCAGGCACAGAGAATAAAAATATATTATGTTGTGAGTGCAGTATTAACGATTTAAGCAAAGTCCTTTGGAAACTCAGAGGTAGGAATAATCGTGCCCCCTGGTGTAGGAGGCTGGGGAAGGTGACATTTCAGCCAGACCATTTATTCATTCATTTGAAGAATATTTATGGGAGTGCCCTTTATCTGCCTAGTGCTGTTCTAAGTACACTTGGGATACTTCATTGAACAAAATAGACAAAGATCCCTGCCCTACGGCGCTTACCTCCTGTTGGGGGATGGGTGGTGAGAGAGTGGGAAGTAGTCAGTAAACAATAAATGTGAATGAGTAAATTGTGTGATATGTGATCCTGGAAAGGGAGGTGGGGAGCACGGGAGTGGCTGCAGTTGTCCTCAGGCTGCTGGGATGAGAATTGTTAAAGAGGGATGAGCTGATTTTCCTCGGCTGGCAGTGGACCCATCACCCCTATTCATAGTCTGTTCTTGGCTGACAATCTGGATCGCAGCCTCAGTCCCTGGCTCATTGCTGACACTTGTCTGAATCTAGGCTTCAGGGCACATTCCCTAGCCTAGCTCCCCTTGGCCATCCTCCTGCAGACCAGGAGTCAGCCATAGTTTCTAGCGAGCACTGAAAGCTCATCAATTTCTCCCAGCCTTCATAGAAGTTGGAGGGAAGACACTGCCTCTTATTTCCAAAAAAACTCCATTGAGCCAAGTGTTGAGTGAGCGTTCTCTAGCAAAGGTCCTGGGTGTGGATTTGGCACCATCGACAATACAGGAAGCACTGTCAGCCCTACACAAGTAACATCAGCCAGAATGAAGGTGGGTGACAGAGCATTTGATTCATACCATTTTCTTTGATTCTCAGAAAAGCGTGATTCTCACATTCAAGGTAAAGAAACTAAGGCTCAGATAAGTTTAAGTCACGCAGCTAGCAAGCAGTTAGCCCTCAAGCCAGGATTTCTCACTTGGAATTCTGGCTCTTTCTGTGGCAGCTTTTTGCCCAACACTTTGGCTTCTCGGCTCCAAAGGGGAGATGACCATGAGTCCATAGCCTCGATGCTATAATGTAGTCAGGCTGAGGCTTCTTGGGTGCATTTCAATATCACATATCTGTGGTCCTTGGGAGCGGTAGTGAGGAAGTAAGACAGTCCACAGGAAAACATTAAACTTCTGCGGTTTTTCAGAAAAATTGGAAAAGTGTAAAGAAAGTAAGAATCAAGCATGCTCCCACCATCCAAACTACTGTTAACATTTTGGTATATAGCCTTAAAGACTTTTCTTTGTGTGTGTATGTATAATATATTTATATGCATGTGTTAGGTTGAACTACATGTAAGTGCTGGTTTTATAAGTCAAAAACAGCCAGATTTTCATTTGATTCAACCAAATATAACATATACACATAGACAAATATACTCATATTTAGACAAAATGGGGTCAGACTATAAAACAGTTTTGTAAACTTTTATTTTAGCCTGTACCATTTCATAGACCTAGAAACAGTATACCAAAAGCGGTCAAAAGCATGGCGTCTGTGGTTCAAATACTGTCTCCACCATGTATTCATCTGGGAAGATTCTGAGGCTTCCTGTGCCAAGGTTTTCCCATTTATAAGATGGGAATAATCATAGGACCCACCACATAAGGTTGTTGTGAGGACCGATGAGTTAATGCATGTGTAGAGTGCTTAGATCGTGCCTGGCACATAGCAAGCATTCAGTAAGTGTTAGCAATTATTACTGTATTTCCAGATGAATAAAGGTAATGTACTGTTCCACTGTAACCAATCCTCTATTAATAGGTGTTTAGCTGTTGAGGTGACATCCTTGTATGTACATCTGAGAGTGTTTATCCGTTCACTTCTTTATGCTTTAAAGACTTAGCATTTAAGGTTTTAACTTTTAAGAAGTCCGTTTATTGATGATTTTGAGCTGGGTGATGAGTACATGGAAAAGTTCAGAGTACTGTTTCCGTTGCTGTGTAACCCTATAAACAGGGCTCTCCATGGTGTGGCCCCCTCTTTGCTTTTCACACTCCAACAGCACTGAACAGCTTGTCAGTGCCTCTGTCGGGCTATTGTTCACTTTTTTGCCTTGGTTATGCTATCCTCTTTACCCAAATGCCCTTGCAATCCCCTTTTCCAGGTTAACTTTTCATCTGGTTAGATGGTTCCTCCTCTAGATGGCCATTAGTTGCCCATCCCCAGGCCTCTGCACACTGTGCACACCAACATCCTTTCTCTAACACACTGTGTGCACAGTGTAGCTGTCTTTCTCCCCATATGGACTACATCCCTTGAAGCCAGGACTTATGTCTTAATCATTGCTAACCTAACTTAGCACAATACTTAACACATAAGTGCTCAATGGACATTTGATGGGTAAATATAGTGAGTGAATAAAATTGAGACTAACTGAATTAATGGCAGGACTTAGACAAGAGATGGTTGGCAGGGTAGTTAGTCTAGGTTATAGGGCTGCATGAAGCAAAGGCATGAAGGTCAGATGATGCAGAATATGTTTGAAAAAAAGGTCCCTGGGGGACAGAAACAAATGCTAAGACTGAAAAGGACTGCAGGGGCCAGATCCCAAAGGCTTGAGGGCTAGGTCCTTGAGGGTGTGCCATAGTCAGCCCTGAACATCTCTGAGAAGGGAGATGGCATGATTGGAGCCATGCTCTAGAAAGAGCTGTCTGGCAATGGTGCGGCCACCAGGCACTGGCAGTGAGGAGTCTGCTAAGGAGACCAGCAGGATATCAGACGTGGAGGCCACGATGGGGGTTTTCCCTGCCGGGAGCCCTTTGGATGACTAGCCTCCACACCCCTCCACTTCTCCTGAACCTCGGGCTCTTCCCCCCTCCCTTCAAGGAATGGTTCTTCACCCCTCGAGAAACAGAAGTGAGAATTGCTAGTTGTTTTGCTTTCTGAGGAAGTCGCATCAGAGCCCAACAACTGACGATGAAATCCACCTCCGGAATTAACAACAACCCCTCTCTCCACTTTAGAAAAATGCTTAGCAAATCCTCTCCAGCATGTGCTTAATCCCCAGGATTGAAGCAGGAAAGAGCCATCAGAGTTCCCGCGTGCCAGCTTGGGCATTCCACTGTTTCCTGAACAAGAGCCTGCACTGCTCACCCTGCTCTTGTTTCATTGGCTCTGACCTGGGGACAGTGATGCCCAAGCTTTTTTTTTGTTTTTAATGTTTTATTGTCTTTTCAGTAAAGGTTTGCATAGCAGTTTAGGTTCCCATTCAACAATTTCTACACAAGTTGTTCAGTGACTTTGGTTGCATTCTTCGCAATGCATGAACATTCTCATTATTTCCGTTCTGCTTGTTCCATTTCCATTAATCTAGTTTCCCTGCCCCCTTATATTCTCATCTTTGTGTTTAAGTAATTGTTGACCATTTGGTCTCATATATGTGATTTTTTAAAGGAGCACAGTATTTACAGGTGATATTC